AATGAAATACACATATTTCAATTAGTCATCCAGAATAGCTCCCGAAGAGCTTGCGACTCAGTTATTACAGAGACCTGACTAGGGGTGATTCCATGAAGGCAAAACGGGCCAGGTTAACCTTGACCAGTGTACATTGCTCCCTGTCTGAATCAACAATGCTAACAGAAAGAACAGTTTGCAGCTTGGAACTGGTGAAGTCTTCAAGGAGAAAGGGAACAGTGTGACTCTAGCATGATGCAGGACCAAGCAAGAAGCTACCAGAGACCAGAGCATGGCATCACTTTGACTGGTATGCTCCTACCTCAGAGAACGGTGCAATCATCTAACCCCTGTGCTGATTTCATACTCACCAAAGAACTTTTTGATTATAATTAATCCTATATAGAATTGTCTAGAAGGCTGCTAATTAACCAATGTGTCTTCCATTTGTGCATTTAAAAACTGGTGTTGTAGCTCATACCTGGGCTTTTTGTGAATTTAGTTGATGTCAATCAGTGACCCTGTATTTGATAATGTCTGGAACTACTGACAAAATCATGTTTCAAATCACTTTGCCCCCACCACACCTCCAGCTAGACCTTACGCATTGATTAAAGTTCTCCTAGTTAGTAACTCTTTGCTTTAGTCTTCCGAACCTAAGTATCAATAAACACATTTTAAAATTTCTCCAAGTGTCTCTTGTTAAATAATTCACAAAGTATTCCATACACTACATTCAGCAAAACACTCTGAATAACGTGTCCAAGTGCAATAAAACTCAACAGATTTGAAGATCCTTTATCACTTAGCTTCACATGAGGCAGATATACTGTGTCTCAAGAGGACAGTGGTCTGGATGTACCTGGGACAGAACTGGGTCTAACTAGCTGTGCATATGGCTTTCAATAAGTCACTCAGGGCCACTTTTGGGCTTTGATCTCTCCACTTCTGTAATTAAAGACTGACAGAATGTTCTCCAGAGGCCTTTGTGACCTTCAGAACCGGTGAATTCATTTTTTTTTATTGCTTTAATCAACAAATATTCAAGGAGTCGTTACTGTGGGCCAAACACCAATAATGTTTATTGAATTTGAGCTAACATGTATTTACAGTATTTAGGAAGTTGAACAAAATAATGTATGTAAATTGCTTTGCCAATGCCTACTGTACTATATCGTGCACTAGTTGCTTTATAATGTTAGGTGAATTTGAATCTATGTTTATAATAATACCCCCAGAGGTTTTTGTTGTTTTGTTTTGTTTTACAGATAAGGTCTTACCAAATCACTAACTTGCCAAGGCCAGACTCAAACTCGTGATCCTCCTGCCACAATCACCCAGAGTGGTTGTATTACAGGCACGCACCACCACACTCAGCAACTACTCCTGTATTGAGTATCATGAATGCCCCTCATACTTAAATAAAAAATAATGCCTGAGATTTAGGCTTCAAGAAAAAAATGAAAGACATCAGTTTTGCAATTGTTGGCTAAAAAAGAGACACTATTCTTGCCAACCTTATGTTTTAGGAGGGTAATATTCTTTCTGAAACATTTTATTTCAACTTTGACTGAAGGTCTACAGCCCCAGTGCTTTGCAACTGGGGGAAAAAGAGTCGGCTCTGGCCTTGTTGCCATGGAGACCACAAAGGCAGTGGTAGGAACTGGCCTCACATCTCTTGTGATTGGCCTTCCTTTTGGCAGAGTGTGAGGCTCCTGGGCCCATCCATCCTGAGCCGCAGTTACCCTTTCTTCCATGAGCTCAAAAATTACTGAGTTCATCACAACCCACTTGTGGCATGCTGCTACCACTAAACATGTGGGGACTCTAAGCCCACCTAAGAGCCAGCAGTCTCAGTGCCAGGGCCTGGCTTGCTTCTGCCTGGGGCATTTGCATTCGCTATATAAGAAGCATTCGTGCTTTCAAAATCGCTGTAGCTACTTAACCTAAATGAGCTGAAACATGCTGCTATAATATTGCAAGTGACAGATTAAAACAGAACTCTTGCTGATTGAAGAAAAGTGTGTTAATAGAATGTAGTCATTTTACCTTGCTGTTTAAGTATGACTGTTTTCAGTCCTGAATATTTGTTGCTTTATGGTGGCAGAAACAAAGGACAATCCAATTTTTCTCTGCTGAGGGGAAAAAGGGGGGGTTTTATCCCCTATTCTCCTGTATCATGGCATACTCATTTAATTGCTTAACTATAAATTCTAAAGAACTTCTGAATGTTTAAAGTAAGTCCATTAACACCATGCGATTTACTCTACTCCTACAGATAAGGAGATCAAGGCCAAACAGGGCCAGGTAGAACAATGCCTGAACCAGGAATAGATCTCCCACCATCCACTATGAAAACAGAGTATATTCAGTTGGAGTACTTTACTGACTGCATTTTTCAGGGCAGCGGGGGCTTTCTGCATTGATAGGAAGCCAGCAAATGCAAGGCTGGAATCCGTCTGGAATTCCTACAAGTGGCTGCAGCCGTGTTTCATAGCAGATACTTAGTCAGTGCTTGGCGTTTAGCCCAGCTGTGAGCAGTGGGCCTTCCAGAGGAGGCATTTGACTCCAGAGCATGGTCATCTGTATCATCTGGCGCACAAACATTCTGGCGATCTTTTCAATTTTATTCTTTCCAACCTGTAGCATAGTGAGATGGCAGGCTACTCCAGCCATCTGGTGTTGGTGGAGGGTTGAAGGAAAGCTTCAAAAGCCCACAGAAGCTACTAGTCAAGCAATGGGTTATAACTGTGCACCACTGGGGAACAGACTCCAGCTGCTGACAAGCCTGAGCAAATCAATCAGGAATCAGGGCTCTTTTCGAAAGTGAGGCTTCCACAGTGTACAGGTCTCAGGGTTACAGCCACAAACATCTATGTGTTCTGCAAATTATGAAGGCTGATGAAGGAGTCACAGCAGGGAAAGAACTGAGGAAACCCACTCTTCTCAACAAGTGCAGGTCCACAAATCACTTTACTTCTTTTCTCTTATTGTAATTTCAAGGCAGATCTTTTTCGTCTGTTCCTTGAAGCTGTGGACTGCATTGAGATTTCTGAATTTATCTCAACTTCAGATAAGGGTAAAGAGCGCCAAATGGAAGAACCACAAGAACTTATTCATACATACATGCGAATATATATATATACAAAGGCTTCTGAAATAGGGCCAAGACATTTTCTCCACGTCCTCATAGAGTATGATGGAGCTATTTTGAACTCTTGGCAGGGTAATTTCACTCTAGAAAGAGAGCTATCCTCCTCTAGGGAAAAGAAGGCTGAAGATAGTAACAGGGATATTCCTGATTCCAAGGACTTCCATTCAAAAAGTTGCTTCATTGCAGAGATCCTGATCTACAAAGAAACCAACATAGTAATTCTCCCCTGTGCTGTCACTCTTAAAATTTTAGAGTGGTTGTTGTATAGAACTGTAAATCAATACCTGTGATATGTAGCTTACATGCTGGCCTCATAAAGATAAAGGGGTCCCGTTAATTTACATATAACATTCGTTACTGAATATCTGTATACTAAAGCCTTTTTTCCTCTTAGGTTATAATACGGAAATAAGCATGCATTTTTATGAGATTAAAACTAATTTCTAAAAGTAAAAATCCAAATTAGGAATGTAACAACTCTGAGAAATGTGATGCATGCTGTTACATGAATGAACCAAGGTATGAATGAAATGGAAGGAAAAAGTTTTTACTAAACCACATTACTATTGCAAAACTCCCAACTATCTAAGGCAGGAAGAAGATATTTATCTTAATACAGAAGGGATTGTGCCATGGAAAGAGAAACACATTAAGATAGGCTGCGTACATTCACTTCGCACCTAGGATACAAGAATACACTCCATTAATTTGTAGGACACGGGAAGCAGATTAGCCTAGAAGACTGTGGTGACAACCCTGGCCTTTTCATACCCTATTATCATGTTTTGCTTTCATGTTGTGATTTCTAAAAACCTGTATTTACCTCTCTTGTCTGTGTCTATCTTCATTAAGTAGCTTTTTGTTGTTGTTGTTGTATCTTATTTTTATGGATTCAACTCTTAGCTCTCTCTTAGATTTCATTCTTCCTAGAATTACTACCCAGTGAAATTACCTTGTAATGAAGTTTAATATTTCAAACTGTTGCTTTGGGCTATACAGATTTAATTTCTCAATGTGACTCTGATGTTTTTCATTGTCCATGCAGTCTCCTATTACTCTGCTTTCACCCCTAGATGATTATACTTAAGATTAGAACCTCTGCCAGGCATGTTGACCCATGCCAGTAATCACAGCACTCAGGAGACTGAGGCAGGATGATTGTGTGTTTGAGACTATCCT